ACCTACCTCGCTTACTAGACACCTCTGCGGCTGTGTGGATGGCTGTGATATCGTCAGCCGACAGGAAGTTCAGTACTCGCACGGCATCGGTCTGTTGAGCCAATGAGAAGTCCATTGCGCCACTCACTGGAATACCCACACTCTCACACCACGACTGCACCCGAACGGGTTGGATGGCTATTTTTAGAACAGGAGCAGCGAAGGAGATGTGTTGCATGAGTAGGTATGGTACGCCGGTCCTCGGATGTACGGAATAGATGAGCGCAGCCTGAAAGATGGAAATGAGAAAGTGGGGGGGGGGGGTTACCACAAGTCTGCGACTGTTGACCAGCTTAGCACTATGATATGCACGCAACAAATCAGGTCCGGAGACATATTGAAGCTTCCGGACATCGATACGATCCCTATTATAATATTCCAACAATTCCCAAAATGGCAGTCAACGATCGTCGATTTCTGAACAACGACTTGCACATAGATGCCTCAGCACTGGCAGCATTAAAGCATCTCCTCAACACGACTATCTACACATACGAACACATTTAAACAGCTAAGACGACCAGCCAAAGCAAAGGTTCTCTCCCTCTCTCTCTCTCACACACACACACACCTGTGCTTTGCGCACCCAGGCGCAGTGTGATGATATAGCCTGAGCCGCTCTGTGCCACATCCACCTCCTGCGGTGCTGGTTGACCGCTTTCGGTGTCTGTTATGGCGTCTCTCAACTTCTCCTCCGCATACAGATCGACTCTAGCGGTGGTTGGTAGAAAGGTTGGGGAGAGAGGTGAATGTGCATGATTGGATGTGCTCATGTGTGCACACGGGTGTGCCGGTCTACGTATATAGTCTATACAGCATTAACACATCGTATTCACACATGTATTTGCGTGTGTGTGGGCTCGTACCTGCAGTGTTTAAACGTCACATGCAATCATGCATGCACTGCCTGTGGAGTCGGAAGCATACAGGAACTGGGATTTTTAGGGGTTTAGGGTTATGTGTACACATGTTTACATCTCGCAATAAGCCGACTCCGTCACAGCAGCCCTTTTATCAAGGCCCAAACAAGATATCGCACGTGTGTGTTAGTTAATGTGTACCTGTGCGTTGTTGTAGGGTGTAATTGCGCCACTTCACTCTCCAGACTGTTCACAATACTGTCGATCACAGCCGCTGACAGTTCGGTATCTCCGATGTCTTCTGTGCCACCCACATGCACAGCTAATACTGCTTCCTGTTGAAGAGAACAGAACAAAAAGGAATACAACAAGACGAACGAACGATTGAATGAACACTCGAACATCTGTGGACTTATGAGCCAATCAGAGGGCAATATCAGTTGCTGTTGGGATGAAAGAACCTATTGCTGTAAGACTCGAAGGCTAATCGAAGGGTGCGCTCACCCCAACAGCAGAACAAGACAACCGCACAACCAGATGACAGACAATACGACAGTAAGAACTCGATAGAACAAAATACAACTACTTTTTTAAAAATACGACCAAACATACAAAACAACAACATAACTAAATATAGACTATATAAAAACTCGATAGAATAAAATAAGACCACTTTTTTTAACAATACGACAAAAACATATTAAACAACAGCATAACTACAAATAGGCTATATAAGCACTCGATAGAAGAAATACGACAAATACAAATTAAGATAAACTGTGTTTGGCTGATACACTGTATGTGGAGAACCACGTGCTGTGATTGGCTGATACACTGCATGGCATGTGTGCAATGCCCATAACCCTCGCACCACTTCACGTGCACAGATAGAGGTGTTGTACATGTACATTGTGATCCAACTACTCACAGATACACACACACAGCTATATATACATATACATATATATATATATATACATATTTACATATATATATGTATATATATATAATTATATATATATATATATATAAATACCCTCAGACACACAACAACATACACATTCATGACAGACAAACAACCCCACGTACCGAACTGGTATCCAGGCATTTGATCAAACCTCTGAGGAATGTGACGGATTTGAGTCTGGTTCCCAGAAGAGTCTCTGGCCCATTCATATGCACCATAATTGCGTTGTACCTAAACGTGCAGCACAGAATTCGGGACATTTTTGACCCGGGTTTAAGAATTCAGGTCACACGAGGCCCCCCCAAAAAAGAAAAAACAGGTTCGGAGCCACTGCAAGACATTAGCTAACGAACATGTCCAGCCGCCCGTGACTGGGGCGGGGGTTGTATTAGTCAATACTTGGTAGTAGAGATACATGTACTTATATAAAGACATACAGTTGAAAGGTAATCTAAAAGGAATATGATATTCAGTACTCACACCCTCCCCGGTTGGTTTTAGTAGGTATGAGTGCACCATACTGTTAGAGATTGTACGGGAGTGGACCAAACAAGTAAAGTGCTATGAAGGCTCACAACAGACTATTGTACTGTAGTCGAGCTACTATTCTGCCACACATACACGCACACAAAACACATACATATATACATAACGCAAACATAACACATACAGAACACATACAGAACACATACATAACACATACTTACACACATAAAACACATAACACATACACACATAACACATACATACCACATGCATACACACATAACACATACATAACACATACATGCATATATAACACATACATAACGCATACATACACACATAACACATACACGGCTAAAAGTGCACACAGGTAGCAAGACACGGAATAGAACCCGCGCGCACACACAACTAATAAACAGACACATACGCAGACACACAGTCACAGAACAAACCGTTGTGAGCCGTCTGCACCCGCTGACACGAATTTAATTGGGTCGCCACATGTCGTTGTCGTGTTGACACTGCTGAGGAGTTTACCGACAGGGAAGCACGTGGTCATGTCTCGCACGAGATGTTCGGAACTTTCTAGCATGGTCATGTCCACATTGTCCACGTGTGATCTATTTATAAAACAGAAAAGGGTATAGATGGGGTGAGATGTTCGGAACTTTCTAGCATGGTTATGTCTACATTGTCCACGTGTGATCTATTTATAGAACATAAAGAGGATACAGATGGGGTGAGATGTTCAGAACTCCGTAGCATGGTCATGTCCCCGTTGTCAACGTGTGATCTATTTATGTAACAGTAAGAGGATATAGATGGGGTGAGATGTTCGGAACTTTCTAGCATGGTCATGTTCCCATTGTCCACGTGTGATCTATTTATAGAACAAAGAATGTACAGAAACGGTGGGTCGACTGATGCGTTTGTGTGCCCTGTTTTGGTTCGTGTGGCGTAGATGCATCTCTCTGTGATAACATCTTAGTCTTGCCATACACATGCAATACCGCAAATGATACGTACCATACCTACAGGTAACACTATGGGATGGGACATATTGAAGTACCGTACCATCTAGCTGAGATGGTTAGCGACAAAATCCTGTTGCTAGGCAACTCAGGTCAGTCCGAAACAGTGTCAGAATGTGGCCTATCTACTGTATGCAGCAAGGGCAATGAAAGTACTACGCAATGGCTGCGACTGACCTATTTGAGGCGTCTGTGACTGCCACAACAACCCCAGTGAGAGTGTAAGCCAGACGCTCAGGTGTAATACACATTGAAGGTTACGTTGGAGATACACATGCGCCTAGACATAAAGCGGCCCCAAGGAATGGTAGCATGTGTGTGGGTTAGAAGGCTGCTACACGCACGTGCAATGGCAGTCAGTGTGTAGGTTGGAAGACTATTACTACACACACACACATCACTGACACCAACCACATACCCTATGAAGCATTGGATGATGTTATTATACACACACACACATCACTGCACCTACCACATACCCTATGAAGCATTGGATGACGATATCACACACACACACATCACTACACCTACCACATACCCTATGAAGCATTGAATGATGCTATTACAACCTACCACATACCCTATGAAGCATTGGATGATGATATTACACACACACAATACACACACACACATCACTACACGTATCACATACCTTATGAAGCATTGTATGATGATATTACACACACACACAATACACACACACACATCACTACACCTGCCACATACCCTATGAAGCATTGGATGATGATATCACACAAAACACACAAACACACACAAACATCACTACACCTACCACATATCCTATGAAGCATTGGATGACGATATCACACACACACACAATACACACACACATCACTACACATACCACATACCCTATGAAGCATTGGATGATGCTGCAGCCCATGCCAATAGACAGCAGAGACGGACGCGCTGAAATGGGACAAAAACGGAACCAGAAATGAGTACTACGCCACAGAATAGGTGCACAGATGATCTAACCTACCCAATATATCACAGATACAACCGAATCCCAAAACGGGACAAAACGGAATCAGATATGAAAGCTACGCCAAGGGATAGGTGCACAGACTATGTGGCTTCCCAATCTATTACAGACATATCGGAATACAAAAATAAGGAAAGCAATGAAACAACACAGAACTAGATATGAGTGCTACGCCACAGAATAGGCCCACAGATGATCTAGCCTACCCAAAATATCACACAGCATAGCATAACTCCCATGAGGAGAAAACCCCGTGACCTGGCTGCAGGTGGTGTGTATATTTAACGTGCGTACAGAAAACGTATGACGCGTAGGTACTGTGCAAACAAGTCTTTCCAGGTAGCTGTGGTGTGCACATAGCAGCAGCTTGCTGAGTATATACGGCACAGACAGAGCCAGATTTTCATTTAACGTTCCGCGAGTACATTTATTCATAAGTATACACAAAACATGCACAAACATGGAGAGACAGGTACAACACACATTCACCCAATCCCATACACCACCATACAGATGCGCAATTGAGACAACCTAAATAACACACACACACACACATACATACATACACACACACACATACACACACACACACACACACACACACGCATATATATATAATTCACCAGCCGAATGCTGTCCCTGGACCAACGCCGGCAGAACCAAGCCAGCTAAAGAGACGGACACCCAATCCTCCAAGGCACTTCCAAAGGGAACACCGGTATCCCACGCACAGTCGGACACGTGATGTAACCCCTTCCACGTCCCACGCACGAGCTGTGTGTGTGTGTTTATTTATTTCTTTATATATATATATATATATATGTGTGTATGTTTAATTATTTCTTTATATATATATATATATGTGTGTGTATGTGTGTGTGTGCACATGAGGGGCGGGTGGTGTGTTAGGGTAGGGGTTATACTATGCACGCGTATGTGGGCGTGAAGGTATTGGCTGTGGATTGTATAGGGGCTCTGCGTCTGTCTATCTGTAGTCCGTGCGCGTGTTTCTATGACCTTGGTACGTGATAGGTGAGCCGGTTCATCTTCAAGCATATCTACCAAATCCTCAGAGGACAAGCATACACTCTACTTTACATACCCGAGCTATGGTGTCAATGCCAATGGTGGGTATCAAACCTATCAAAGCACGTACACACACACGCAAAACGTACAGACCAGGTGTACCGCTCGCAATACATCCATCCAGACATCCCGTGGGAATACGTTTCAACAAGTGCGAAAACGTTAAACGACAAGGAGACTGTATGTCTCGCCCTCAGGTACGCAACCTGTGTCTTAACGCATGCATCTTCTACGCACCGGTAGAGATACACACACATACCTCACGAACTAAACACACGATACACACACAAAGCCAATGACCACTACAACGATACGCGCAAGTACAGATACACACACGCACCTCACGAACCAAGTCTGTGCCACCCTCCGAGTCCGTTTTGACCACATCCAAGACGCAGTAGTGGTCTGCATCGTCTCCGCCAGCCTCTGCACGCACTCCTACAGCTGCGGCTGCGGCTGCGGCGGACTTGTTGCGATAGTAACTGAAGAGACTGTGCGTGTGTGTGTGGGTGTACGGCGAGGCGGCCTTTGGCTTGGTGTTCTTCTTTCCTTTGCTTTTACCCTGTAGAGTGGAGTGAGTGAGAAAGTGAGTGAGTGAGTGTGTGGGGAAGGGGGGGGGGAGAAGGTAGGTATCAGATGGTCTGTGGCAACTTGAGAGGTGTGTGGGGTTGGCGAGAGTGGCTCAGTGGGATAACACCATGTGGAGGATAGTGCGGTTGTATTGCTCACGGTATGATATAGTAGAGCAAGTCAGACTACAGTCTCCACTACTACAAACGTTTATGTATACGGATACACACGTATCTGTATCAGGACTTTAAATGTAGGTATATCTGCTAATGGCAGACTACTGCAAACGCTTATGTATACGAGCGCAATACTGCAAACGTATATGTATACGAGCGCAAGTATCTGTATGAACTTTAAATGTATGTGTATCTGCTCAATACAACTGCACATGCTAATAGTTGTGTCTATAGTGTCACACAGTACTGAACACTCAAGCCTTTATCCACAGCGCAATGATACGCCTGTGCTAACCTGCGCACCCCACCACATATGTACATATGCACACTACGTCCACCTACGCTATACCCACCTACTATATACGCACCCATACAACGCGTACCTTTGGAGCTGTGTGATGAGTCGGGGGAGCCTTGACCTTCTTGCTCCTGTGATACGTTTGTACTGTCACGTACCAGATAGCTTCGCTGGCATCGTTGTTTGGCGTTGCTGAGGAGTTGGTGCCTTTGGATTTCTTCTCCGGCCTCCGTACGCCTTTCTTCTTATCTGCAGATCACAGTGAAGTGGTGTGTGTACGTATATGTTTAGCTATCGACCACCGGGAGATGTCAAGGAGGTTGCATATACAGGAGACCAAACCTCGATGCATGCTTACACACACAGAGAGCATACTGTGCCCATACTGCGTGCATATAGCTATGAATGCGTACGTGCATGTAGGAACTAATCTTAGAGAGAGACTAGGGTGCAGCCATAACAACTTATACGAGGGCGAGCAACACATGCATTTACACACACACTCGTTCGCCGGGGTAGACTGGTGTGTAGGGTCGTAGTAGCACCCTTCAATGTCATCCACGCATCATATAACACACGGTTGGGATCCATTGATTCGATGAACACAAAACATACAGAGGCAACGACGACACAAGCGATATATCATCAGTAGAGAATCATCAAACTGCCACACTAGTGACCGCTATAGTGGCAGACCCAACATTGACATCATCCTATGGCGTATTGGATGAAGGTCAATTCGTACTCATGTATATTTGTTATACATATAGAAGTATATATATATAAATATAAAGATATAAAAATATAAAAATACACACACACACACACACACACACACAC